TATCCCTAGTTTTTCTAGAGTTTTGAACATAAAGGGATGCTGTACTTTGTCGAATGCTTTTTCCGCATCTATCGAGATGATCATATGGTTCTTATTTTTAAGTCTATTGATGTGGTGAATAACATTTATTGATTTCTGTATATTGAACCAGCCTTGCATCCCAGGGATGAATCCTACTTGATCATGGTGCACAATTTTTTTGATATGTTTTTGTACCCGATTCGCCAGAATTTTATTGAGGATTTTTGCATCTAGGTTCATTAGAGATATTGGTCTGTAGTTTTCTTTCTTTGAAGTGTCTTTGTCTGGTTTAGGAATCAGGGTGATGTTGGCCTCGTAGAATGAATTTGGAAGTTCTCCCTCTTTTTCTATTTCCTGAAATAGCTTGAAAAGTATTGGTATTAGTTCCTCTTTAAAGGTTTTGTAAAACTCTGCTGTATACCCATCCGGTCCTGGGCTTTTCTTAGTTGGTAGTCTTTTGATGGTTTCTTCTATTTCCTCAATTGATATTGGTCTGTTTAGGTTGTCTATATCCTCCTGACTCCATCTGGGCAGATCATATGACTTAAGAAATTTATAGATGCCTTCACTATCATCTATTTTATTGGAGTATAAGGATTCAAAATAATTTCTGATTATCTTCTGTATTTCTGAAGTGTCTGTTGTGATATTGCCTTTTTCATCCCGTATGCTAGTAATTTGAGTTCTCTCTCTTCTTCTCTTCGTTAGCATGGCTAAGGGTCTGTCGATTTTATTTATTTTTTTCAAAGAACCAACTTTTAGTTTTGTCAGTTTTTTCAATTGTTTTGATTTCATTAATTTCAGCTCTGATTTTAATTATTTCTTGCCTTCTACTTCTTTTGCTGTTGTTTTGCTCTTCTGTTTCTAGGATTTTGAGATGAAGTATGAGATCATTTATTTGTTGGTTTTTTCCTTTTTTTAAGGAATGAACTCCAAGCAATGAATTTTCCTCTTAGAACTGCTTTCAATGTGTCCCATAGATTCCAATATGTTGTGTCTGTGTTTTCATTAATCTCTAAGAATTTTTTAATTTCCTCCTTGATGTCTTCTATAACCCATTCATCATTCAGTCACCTATTGTTCATTTTCCAAGTGATGCATGATTTTTCCTTCCTTCTTTTATTGTTGATTTTTAGTTTCATTCCATTATGATCACATAAGATGCATGGTATTATCTCTACTCCTTTATATTGTCTAAGAATTGCCCTGTGACATAATATATGATCTATTTTTGAGAAGGATCCATGTGCTGCTGAGAAAAAAAGTGTAACTGCTTGATGTTCGGTGGTATATTCTATATATGTCAATTAAGTCTAGGTTATTAATAGTGTTATTGAGTTCTATAGTTTCCTTATTCAACTTTTGTTTGGAAGATCTGTCCAGTGGTGAGACAGGTGTGTTGAAGTCTCCCATGATTATTGTATGGTGGTCTATTAGACTCTTGAACTTGAGAAGAGTTTGTTTGATGAACATAGCTGCACCATTGTTTGGGGCATATATATTTATGATTGTTATGTCTTGTTGGTGTATGGTTCCCTTGAGCAGTATGTAGTGTCCCTCTTTATCCCTTTTGATTAACTTTGGCTTGAAATCTATTTTATGTGATATGAGTATGGACATTCCTGCTTGTTTCCGAAGTCCATATGAGTGATATGATTTTTCCCAACTTTTCACCTTCAGTCTATGTATGTCTTTTCCTATCAAATGCGTCTCCTGTAGGCAGCATATTGTTGGTTCTTGTTTTGTGATCCATTCTACTAGCCTGTGTCTCTTAATCGGTGAGTTTAAGCCATTAACATTTAGGGTTATTATTTAGATATGGGTTGTTCTTCCAGCCATATTTGTTTATTTGTGTTACTAAGTTTGTTTTCCTCTTTGATTATTTTCCCCCCTTTACTGTACTACCTCCCACTGTTGGTTTTCATTGTTATTTTCCATTTGCTCTTCCTGTAATGTTTTGCTGAGGATGTTTTGAAGAGATGGTTTTCTAGCTGCAAATTCTTTTAACTTTTGTTTATCGTGGAAGGTTTTAATTTCATCTTCCATCCTGAAGCTTAATTTCGCTGGATACACAATTCTTGGTTGGAACCCATTTTCTTTCAGTGTTTGAAATATGTTATTCCAGGATCTTCTAACTTTCAGTGTCTGTGTTGAAAGATCAGCTGTTATCCTGATTGGTTTACCCCTAAATGTAATCTGCTTCCTTTCTCTTGTAGCTTTTAAAATTCTCTCCTTATTCTGTATGTTGGGCATCTTCATTATAATGTGTCTAGGTGTGGATCTCTTATGATTTTGCACATTTGGTGTCCTGTAGGCTTCTAGGATTTGGGATTCTGTCTCATTCTTCAAGTCTGGGAAGTTTTCTCGTATCATTTCATTGAATAGAATGCTCATTCCTTTGTTTTGGACCGCTATACCTTCCTGTATCCCAATGAGTCTTAAGTTTGGTCTCTTTATGTTATCCCATATTTCTTGGATGTTCTGCTCATGGTTTCTTAACAGTCTTTCTGAGCTGTCTATGTTCTTTTCAAGTTGAAATACTTTGTCTTCATTGATGTTCTATCTTCTAAGTGTTCTACTCTGCTGGTAGTATTCTCAATTGAGTTTTTAATTTGGTTTATTGCTTCCTGCATTTCTAGGATTTCTGTTTGTTTGTTTTTTATAACCTCTATCTCCCTGTATAGTTGATCTTTTGCTTCTTGGATTTGTTTATGTAATTCATTGTTGAAGTGATCTTTCATTGTTTGATTTTGCTCTCTAATGTCTTCCTTGAGACTCCAGATCATCTGAAGCATGTATATCCTGAATTCTTTATCTGACATTCCATCTGCTGCAGCTATTGCCTCTTCTAAAGTTGAGTTGACCTGCATTGCTTGTGGTTCTTTCTTTCCTTGTCTTTTCATACTGCTCGCGTTTCTTTCTGCTTGGTGAAACTGTTGTGTTATTGAAATTTTCCCCCTATATATTTATATTGCTCTTGTATAGTTGAAAAGTCTCCCTTGCAGGGGCGGGCGGTGGCTGTGCTCCTCCTCCTATTGGGGTGATCTGTCTATCATGCTGAGGGGCCGCTGGGCCTGTTCCGCCAGTTGGTCGCAGGTCTGCCTACCTTGCAGGCGTGGGAGAAATATGATTTTCTAAGCTAGCCGCCTTCTAATATGTTCTAGCATTCTTTTAAAATTGGGGAGATTTTTCTCACGGATTCAGGTATTCTGGCATAAATGTAGAAGCTAGTACTTGACACTTCCCTAGCATAGTTTTAGCCCTCATATCTCATAAAATGCTTAGCAATAGGATTTACACACTCTATATCTCCAATTTCTCCTTTTCATATGCAAAATTTCTTACTGCCTTCAAAAGTCAAGGAATTTTCTTAAGTATTCTCTAAATAATAATGTCATCTACTAAAAACTCCCTCTTGTAATGCATTCATCATTATGAGACAATCATTCCCTATTTAAAAAGTTTCCTTGTAATTATTCATTTATTTATTCAGTAAATGTGCATTGAACACTTACATTATGAACCGTGATATAACAGTAGCAAATAAACTCTATTACATTATAGTTGTAAACACAGTACATTAAAAATGTATCAACAGTTAAATAGAGCGTAGATTAAGATAGAGAAGTCCAAAGGCCATGAGAGCATTCATTGTTCCTTTTTCTAGTTACACACAGGAATCATCCAAGGACCCTTTAATAAACACCAATGCCTGTTCTCATACCCAGGGTCTGATTTACTTGGTGTGGAATAGAGGAGAGACATGAGCATTTTTAAAGCTCCCCAGGTGACTCTAAAGCACAGCCAGAGTTGAGAACGAACAGGCTTCATTCTAGAGAGGAGCTGTGGAGCCTTCGTTTACTAGGCTCACACGTACTCCTCCTGCCAATGTCAGTATCTCACAGGGCTCTTCCTCTCTTTGCCAAGCACGGTAATAGTTAAAGAAGTTTGAAAAAGTAAGAATTTTTCTTTGAACATCATTTTATTTTTTTCAGCAGGATCTTTGGTCTGGCCGGTAAGTAATAAGCCTGAAGATTCTTTGCTACTCAGCATCTAGAAAGAACAGCCTCTGGAATTCTTTTTCTGTAACTTGTTAAGATATTGAAGATCAGGCATCAGTGATCTTTACCCTCATAAATAATGAACCACATTGATTTTATTTCCTTCACCAGTCCCTTTCTATGTGATATTTGGGCCTTTATGCTTGGTCTCCAGCTTTTCTCTAGTTTTATAGTTTCCTGGGCTCTGGAACTTTATTATTTTAAGCAAAAATGAACAAATTTTGTGTCTACAGTGGATAGAAATGACAAATAATCTTGGTAATCAAATAGGACTACACCATCAAAGGAAAACTGAGAGGCACTTTTTTTTCTTTAAGTCAAGCCAAAAATAATATTGTTTAAGATATACAGGTAATTGAGGAACCAAACTTTTTCTCCCTTTACCATTTATCTGGATAATTGTCTGTTTTCCCACTATCCATAATCACAGTTTCTGATTTTGCTACATGAAAAATGTGGCTTTACAATTTTTAGTATTTTATTTCTTAACTAGCTACCTTCAAAGATTTTTTGAAGTTATTATACAATCTATATCATTTCTTAAAAGACAAAAACTATTAGAAGATAACAATTCACTGCATGGGACAATAAAATTCAAAACACCAAAAAGATAACAGATTTAGTGAAATTGGCATATGTTAGTCATTATGCAATCATTCATTTCCCACAGATTTCTTTTTATAGGAAACTTTGGAAAATCCCAAAAGAACTGACCGAGTCATTTAAACCACAACAGGTTTCTTTCAACATCAAAACCATGGGTAGGAGTAGGCGAGGAATAATTTTGTATTTTCATCTAAGACAGGGATGGCCTGGTTCTGACTGTGCAGAACTGCGGCTTCCCCTGCTATGGATGCCTTCTGAGCAGCAGATCTGACTTCCTCCTCAAACCAAGGCATCCTGAAAACACCCAAGCAGAGGAAGCATTTTTTCACCATGACATGGGAAAGGGCCACAGAGATCCAAATGGAAACGGACATTTCATTTGAGTGACTGTTTCTACCCCACCTTGGCTTTATGCCTAATTCAACAGGCACTTAGGTGGCTGAAGAGGGAAATTTTTGTTCAAGTGAATCCAGTTCTGAGTTGGACACAGAGCCTTTTGACTGGCGGCCGAGTTTCTTGTGCTAGCTGGCAAAATTAGCAAATTTTTCTTTTAGTTGTTGTTGTGGGGTTTTGAAAATATCTCATTTCCTGGCAACAGTTTTCTTTCTCCAGGAGATAAAGGGAAACAACTCTTCCATCTACACCATGTAACACTTCTATCATCTTAGAAAGTATTTTGTCAAACAGGCAGGATCCCCTGAAGACTTACTCTGGTTCTACATGGCCTCTCCACAGCTGGCTTAAAACCAATGGTCTCAGGAAAGTCCTCCGTTGCCTGCTTGTGGATGTCAGTGGGAGTCTGCAGGCTGTCATCGGAAAGCTCATCTTACATGTATGACCCATGGGGGCTGTGTGTGCGTGCGTGTGTGCGTGTGTGTGTGCTCGCGCGCATATGTGTGTGTGCAAGGGGTGGGCAGAGAGCCTAGTTTTAAGTTCTCATGTATAGTCAAAACGATTGAGAAAATTATAAAGATAAAGGTAACATTCCTTCCTTTGTTGCTCCCCAGGAAGCAAGATAAAATGTCTTGGGAAGGGCCAACTATCATGTGGATGTAATTAATACACACCACTGTGGGAGTCAAAAATAGTCTTCTACTCTGGGGGAAAGTGAAATGACACAATCTCTCTGGATGGTATTGTAGCACAATAAGTTGAAAGAAGCATGTCTATACGAAGGACTCCTGATCATAAGAAAATATTTACAGGTAAATACTAAGAACTGTTTTTGTTGTAAGAGAAAAAGTGTAAACAAATTGGGGAGTGGTCAACTGACTGTGGCATATTCATGAAATGGAAGATTATTGAGTTCTGTTTGCAAAGACCATCCAATGATAAGAGGTAATATTTTGAGGGGACTAGAGGGGAAAAAAAAGAAAACAAAGTTCAGTGACAACTTTGTATAAATATATATGCATACTTGTAGAGAGTAAATGAGTAATAAGAAACATGCCAAAATTATAACAGCAGTTCTCTCTTTAGATTGGCATCCTAGATAGGTTGAATAGATAGATTGTATAGATGAAAGAATGATAACACATTTTATTAGATATTAAAAGAAAAATGTTTACCCAATCTAAGAATATTAAAAAATGGACACACCCAGAGTTAAAATATATTTAAGAAAACATCCTTTTTTCATATGCCTAACTGCCAGAGAATATAGTTTAAATAATGTAGCTTGAAACATGATTAAGAAATCCTAGGTAAGACAGAGGGCCCAGAGACCACCTAAGTCCTCCTCTGCTCTCCCAAGGAAGAAATGAGGAGCACAGAGAGACAGTATCTGTTCGATCAAGGTTATAGTTTGTAATGAGGCCAAGACAGGTGCCAGCCCAAAGCCCATTCCAATACAACAGACTGCATTTTATAGTTAATGATATTCTTCCTTTATTTATATTTAGGATATTGATTTGAATATGAGACTGGATTATTTGGTTGGCATATCCATCTCTGAAATGGTCACCTGTCTCTTGATACTGTGGATTACTTATACTTCTGAATTTGAAAAGGTTGTCACAACGTCAGCAGCACCCTTACACTTTGTGAGATGGTGTCCTACCAGTGTATGTATGCAGCAGGCGCTTTTGTCTTTGAACCTGTTGCTACTTATGCCTCTGACTTTTAACATGGATGATTTTTTGCATTAGAAACTGCTTAACCAAAAAATGCAAGAAAAATAAGCCCACAGAAATGATTTCTAACACAGTAACACAACATGCCTTTAATAAGATATTTTTTTTTTCTGTACCAAGAACAGAACCTCGTAAGAATTCAATAAATACTCGTTGACTGAATTAATAAATGCATAATGTTTTTGGAAACACTTTCCTGATGGTACAGAATTATATATAGTTAGAATTGGCAGTGATATTTAAATAATTCACGTGGGTCCTTCCTTAAATGGTATTATAAAACAAGATTTCCTAGAGCACAAGAATAGATTTATTATGGTATAAGCCCTTACTTTTCTCAATGTAGATCTTATGCTGCAAATATTAACTGTGAAAACATCACAAAATACCTACCTGGTATTACAGCCTTCTTACAATTCAGACACTGAATATTTGCAATTTCTAAGTAGGGAATATTTAAGGTAATGAGTTCTGAATAATATTTATTAACCACATTTTAATGACCCATCCTTTTTATTGAAAACATTAAAATCTTTTAGAAATCACTTTATAAATGCCATTTTAATTCTTTTGCCATATTCATGGACCACTGCTTTCTTAAGAAAAGAGATTAACTGATTCAGGTTTAGAGAAACAAATTACTGTGCTAATCTTCAGGTATTTCTCTTCTTGATATGGCCACTAATGTCTAATTGGAGCAGCACAGGCCCCAGCCCATCACAGTAGTTTTTTCATGAGTGCTCCACTGAATTATTTGTCAGGGATTTAAAATCTGGTGTAAAAAAACACACTAACCTTCAGCAGTCTTACAAAGCTTTCAAACACATTCTGAGTCTTCTAAAATAATTCAGAAAATTGGCCTCATGCAAAGTTAGGGGCTACCATCATACAGGAAGAGTTCTCATGTATCGCAGGAATTTTAGGGAGCATTTGTAGACCTATTTGCAGGATTCTAAGGATTGAAGAGTTGGGATTCCCTGTGACAAGAACTATTGAACAGCCAAGAAGAAGATTGGCTGATCTGTCCCATAGCGATAAGGTGTTTAGTTTGACCTTAATGTTTTTAACAAAATTGAGAATTATTCCTCAGCCAGGTTTCTGGCCTCTTTTGATAAACTGGAGATCTGGTAACATTGAGTTTCCTTCCTCTTCTGACAATAACCTGCTCATATTGGGTAGTACTGCCTCTCTAATTTGCTACACTTTGCATCTGCCTTAGCCTATTTTGCATGGATATCAATACATCTCCTGCATGTTCAGTATGGGTATTTGGTCAGAGAACTGAAGCATTGCTGGTGCTTCCTTTGACCACAGGAATGTTTTATTTCCATATTGTATTAGAAAGTACATTAAAATTTTAGTGCAAATTTTTTTTCTCTATCTTTGTATCTTTGTAGGTCTGAATTGTTATCAGCTCTGTGTGTTCATTTTATCTCTTTTGTTTTTAAGGAAGTGACTTAAGGTTTCACAATCAGCCTTTCTGGTTACTACCATCTTTGTTGCTCTCCCTATTTTCTGAACTCATGTAGCATTCATTATCTCTAAGAATTTTGCCATTTAATTGGCACTATGATATTGCTCTAGATTTCTATTGAATATGTTAAACTGTTTTCTCCATGAAGGGTGCAAGATTACTTCGGTGATATCTTGGAGCCCAGCGGGGTGCTGATATACAGCAGATCACATGTAGACTTAATGATCAGGTAATTCCAGTTCTTTACTCTTTAAGACTAATTTTGTTTAGAATAGAAAATTTTAAAAAATCACTTATTGAACTGTAACATACCACCCCTAATACATAGCAAATTGAATAATACTAATTTATTTTTTATGCTTTCAGAAAGAAGTGTTTCTAATAAATGCCTAACATAAAAATGTAAGATCTTGCCCTGAATTTCTATTGCCTTACACGTTTCTTCTTACCACTACTGAGCCAATGTTTTCCTCTTTTAATTTCTCTATTAACTTTAATTAGGCTCATGAGTTTGCTGGCCAGGTGGGTTTTCCCTAAACACTCACAACTCCGTTTTCTAGGCTAGCAGTAGAATTAAGTTAAGCTGCAGATTTGAGGCAGAATCTAACATTATAAGCTGTGGAAGGTTCCAATGCCACTACAACTCATTTCATCCACTGAGGATTTCAGCAGGCAGCACTTTTAATAAGCTAGGCTCGGCATTTTTCAAGGAATACTTTGGGATCCATTTTTGAAAGCAATATTGGTTATGATTCCACAGCTGGAAGATTTCTGAGGAAATAATGTTTGTCCTCTTGAAAACATGTTTGGTCCGTACATACTGAGTATCCAGTACTAAATTTTACCATCGCATATTTCTAATATATAATTTTCCAACAGGATTGCAATAGACACTGGATAGAAGAATAGTAGGATCACCTCCAATTTAATCTTTTATTTCATCTTTTAGGAGACACAAAATTTCTTACATAATTTATATCTTTTAGTGCATTAACATAGATCTCGTTTGAAATTTTCTTTCATTTTTTTTTTTTTTCCGAAAAGGAGCAGAATAGAGCTGAAAATCTTCTTGCGATCCTACAGGGCATTGGATCCTCTCAGGTACTGGCTGCTGGTTTATAAAAGGATAGGATTTCCATTTACTCCAGGCAGGCTTAATGTATTGTTCTCGGAGTGAGACAGTCAGAATGAGTCAGGAGCCAAAGAATACACTTTATAGACACAAATAATCGTAAATTCAGAATGTCACCTTTAGGCAGAGGCATTTTTATTATTGTTAGTGGAGCTGCTGAGTAGGTTTGATGTTTTATTCTCTTGAGGACTCAATGTTCCCGAGTCCTGGAGCCCTGTCTTTATCAGGCTCGCAAGGAGGGAGCCCAGCCAAACTTGCTTCCTATACTTCTCTATGATTGATAGCAGATGGCATGCTTTAAAATAAACCTATCCATTAGCAGTCCTCAGTGTTTTTACTCAAGGCATTTACAACTGTCTCAAGCAGAAAACACATTCACTCCATGAGCTAGTTTCAGTCCACAACAGCTGTACAGGTGCAAATCTCTCATTAACTCTTAAATAGTGGTGAAATAAACAATGGCTTTTCTCTGACTTTATTTAAGGGAGTATACTTCAAAGCTGCTGTGGAATTACTCTCCTCCACAATGGAGGAGTTTTATTAAGCTGAGCTATATTATGTAGTGATACGCTTGTCCTAGGAATGCATGTAGTTTAAAAGTTTATATCTATGCACAGATTTAGTGGTAAGTTTTCAGTCTCCCAGGTGTGTTTCTGAAGAAGTAGAAAAGAAAGAAAATCTTAGTAAGGGTCCCTAGCAGCTCTCAGGTGCCTGGATTCATGTGCCTATATGTACTCAACATGTCCTGAGAGGTAGTACTCACACTGAGCTGGTGTAAATATAATGAACTGGTGGTGTAATTGGGAAGCCGATTGAATTTCTTGCACATTGGTAGTTAGACAAATGTAAAAATCATTTTTAAAGTTAATTTTTTATCCATGTTGAACACAGGTGAGAAGGTTGGCCTCAGGATTTTGCTTTGTAATCCAGGTCAGAAAAAAGGCTCTGTGGTTTAAAGAATATTGTTTCTAATACTGGCAAACAGCTAAAAGGACTTATGTTGTGTCAAGTATTATTCTAGAAGCTCAAAAAAAGTTAACTTATTTAATCTTACCAGAAATCTTTGAAGAAGCTATCAATTTGCCCACTCCTGTAAGTGATGAAACCACTATGGTCTGTGATCATTGTTATAATAACTGAGACCTTAACCAGGGTTTTTCCTGACAGGAGAAATAGAGAGCCTGTATTCAGAGACCAAACTGGCCAGGTTCAAATCTTGCTTTGGTTCTTCTATCTGCATGACCATGGCTCTGATATTTGATGGCCCTCTGTCTTGGTGTCCTTCTTTCTTTATTAAAAATTTTTTTTAGTTTTAGTTGGATACAATATCTTTTTATTTTTATGTGGTACTGAGGATTGAACCCCGAGCCTTACACATGCTAGGCAAGTACTCTACCACTTGAGCCACAACAGCAGCCCTGGTGTCCTCATTTCTTATTTGACAACCTGACTTTAGCTAATAACTGCCTACCTAGCATGGCTGTTGTGATGACTGGAGGAATTAATGTCTGTATCATGAGTAAACTATTGCCTGGTAGGAAGTCAGTCTGTGGAAGTTTTAGCTATGGCATAGTCATCACCATCATTCTAAGAGGTACTAGATTGACATTAAACATTTGAGATAAATTAGTGATCTCTGCTCATCTTCTATGTCTGGAACTGTAAGTTTGGAATAATTTCAATTTCCAAACAAAACAATTCATTTGTTTTTATTTCACCCTTTATTAATTAGACACAGACCAGAGTTGCCAATCAGAGACTCTGATCAGCATAAGGTAATAAGAGTTTTCATATGAAATTGATAAGATTTTGCCCCAAAGCAAAGTAATTTGACACTCAGCTTCAGTAGCATTATTATTGGTAAATGTGTTATTCCCTTAGGCCTTCTGAAATAATGAAACTGGTTAATGGAGCCCTTCATTACAACCTTCCATGGGTCCCCATGGGCCCATGCTGCCATGATAGGTGAACCTGAGCCAAAAATATCTCTTCAGTGGGCAGCTGGAGAGGCGAAGCAGGAAAAGTCATAAAGTCTGCCCCGTGACTGACTGTACCTCATGCTATTTTTTTCAAAGGGTAGGCTGTGTTAAAGGACTTCAAGAAGGTCACTACAACAAAAGTATGCCATTGATTTACCAAAGAAAAATGTAGATCATTCTAGAAAATATGATGGAAGAATCCAAGTATATACAGAGTACTGCCATTACAAAAACCCATCTTCATGGTTCTCACCAGGAAGGTTTTTTTTTTTTTTTAATTTTATTTATTCTTTAGAGATGATTGCTTTTCTGTTTGTGGAAGGGCATTTAAATGTGTTTTAGAATAAATATACCTGAATATAGGTGGGAAAAATAACTACATGACAAGGGGAAATTCAAGTGAAGAGCACCCTTTGTTATGACTGGGATATTTTATATTGGTATACATAAGAGATATCCAGTTATTACAGTTGCAACTATTCAGTTACCAGGAATAGTTCATTTTGGATTTCTGAAAAGTAATTTTATATTGGGTGTGGTTATAAAAGGTAAATGCTAGGCCAATGGATATTCCATACGTCTTGTTGTAGGCTTCCAGGGAATATGGCTGGTAATTTGAGATCACTCAAGGGCATTTTGGTGTGTAGTTTTAAAGGATGTTGGTACATTAATGGTTCCTCTACAGTTCATTACTGGTTTTAGTATCACACTGAATGGGATTAAGTTTGTTAAATTTATGAACTCACTAGACAGAAAGAAGTCTAAAGAAAGGGGCCTAAGAAAAAAGTATACTTACAGCAGTAAATATCCTGTGAGAGAAGTTAAGTTTCAATAAGATTTTTTTTTTCTTCAGAAAGGTAGATATTAGGAGTTTGCATGGATTTAAGCATATGTTTAAACATCAAAATTCTTCTGGTAGAGCTGGGTGCGGTGGCACATACCTGTAATTCAAGCAGCTTTGGGGACTGAAGTAGGATGATTGCGAGTTCAAAGCCAGCCTCAGCAAAAGCGAGGCACTAAATAACTTAGTGAGACCCTGTCTCTAAATAAAATACAGACAAAGGCTGAAGATGTGGCTCAGTGTTTGAGTGCCTCTGAGTTCAATCTCTGGTACAAAAAAAAAAAAAAAAACCCAAACAATTCTTCTGATAGAATGAACTTGTATCCCATGTAAGAATATATTATTGTAGAAGAATATACTTTTGTAGAAGAATATATTATTGTAGAAGAAGAATATATTATTGTAGAAGGGATGTGTGAACTAGTTGCAGTTTTAGTTACATAGTATATTTTGTTTTGTAGGATTCAAAATAATCAGCATCTGGAATGAAATGGTGGAAACAGTGAAAGGAATGGGAGAGGAACTGAATACCTTGATACCTGCATTCTACAAAGGGAAACAATTCGGAATCTGTTTGCCATTTGACAAGAGTATGCCACCTCTTTATTTCTAATTGAAAACTCTCCATGTCTCAATTACTAAACTGCAGGCTGAGTTTCAGGGTCAGAAAATCAAGGGAATGCCAGGTGGACTCCTGTCACTTTCCCTCCCACTCCTGGGTGTGGGGCATCTAAATTCTCAGTGCTGCTTTCCTGGGGTCCTCCTCACTCCAAGTGCACTTGAAATGAGAACCAACTAGTCCTGTTAGCCTCTAGATGGTCCCTAAAACTCAAATGTTCTGGATCACTAACGCTTCTCACTTTGTGGTGGGGTCTCGTTTCAACTGGGCAGATGTGCTAAATGGAGAAATAAATAATGAATTCATAATTTGAAAAGTACAGCTTTTCTAGTGCTTTTACGTTGTCTCCAGGGCCTGTGTTCTTTTGAGGAGTACTTCCAAATAGGAATATTTTGACATCTCCCACATTTACTCATTTATTTACCATTATGGTTTTAAAGCTACTGGACCCATTATTTTCTTTTTGTTAATCATTTTGTTCCTTATTCAGTGTAACTTTAAAATAATTTCTGCTCGTTCATACCCAGTCTGTTTTTTTCTAATCTGATCCAAAAGTCGTGTTTCTGGGGTTCATCTCCATTGCTATTCATCCCTGGAACTCCTCTTTTTCCCTTGAAGATGTGTTCCTATTTTGATGAAAATTTGAAATTAGAAATTTCTAAATAGGGCATATCTGAATCTGTTTCGTTCTAGTCTCAGTATCATTGGAAAGTTTTGGAAGCTGAGATCTGCTCCCAAACCGTGGGCTGCAGTTGAGTTCCTGAGCTTTATTAGTCCTGTGTTAGAGTAGGCATCAGTTACCCAGAGTTTTCTAATGTGAATAGCAGCCTGTTTATAATAAGGAAATTACATTTGGCTTATGAAACTTTGCTAATAACTATGTAATTGATGGAATTATCTAAAATAATAACAATTTCTTAGGCATGTATTGAGTTGAGCACCACTCCTTGCAATCATTCTTCTTGTTAATGGAGGAACAGATGGAGGAAACAAACTAACCCAGTTCAGATTTCATTACTGTTATACTTTTAATAGCACCTTACATTTTGTAGGGTGCTTTCCAGTTCCTATTAGGAATGAATCATTTAGAAAATGTGATCTTGTGAATATGATTACGGTTAAGGGTTAGTAGACAGATTGAGTTTTCTCTTTCCTGACCATCTCTATGACTTAGGAAGCAATGACAAGTGGCCCCATTTCTCCATAATCAAACTTTCTACTCTATAAAAAGGGTGCAATATTGCTATGTTTGTCTACGTATTGGTAAACATTATCCTAGGCTATTTGCCATAAGCTCTTTTTTTTTTTCCCCTTGCAGTGCTGGGGATTGAAGCCAAGATCTCATGCATTCTAGGCAAGCACTCTACCACTGAGCCATATCCCCAAACCCTGCCATAAGCTCTTTAAAAGAGGAAACCCATAAGTAAGATGCAAAGTGCTACTTACTGTAGTTATCCAGCACTCCTGTTTCCCACCGTCATGTTTTCAGAAGAACAAAGAAATGATAAAATTGTCCTGGAACCAGAGGTACTTGAAGGTGGTCAAGGGGTTGAGTTGAATTCCCTATGGTATTTGACATTTATATTGTTCAGCTGAGTTTGTTGTTGTCTGGAGTAATATTAAGTTGGGTTTCCATTGTTTGGCACAGTTAAAAAAGCAAATGGATTTTTAAATGTTGAATATCTAGCAAATTAAGAAGTTGTAAATCTTCATGACCAAAGACAATGAAGCATTGCCATATGATTAAAAAAATCAGAATTTAAATCAACAACAATTATATATAATTATATATATATGTGTGTGTGTGTGTGTGTGTGTATGTGTGTACTTTAACTTGTGGAAAAGTAAGAAAATATTAACAGGAATTAACAAAAGTCCTTTAAATATTATCTTAATTATTTACAAAACTAATTTTTCCATTGCATATTTACTATGGAACCATCGGGGTGTATAACAAACAGAGTTTGAATGACTGGTTATCAGTTTTGGTAAAAATTGGGTCTTATATTTTGCTGATACAATTTTCTTATTGAGAAATCTTCTTTGTTATGATTCCCAGGAATATTTTTTTAAAAATACCTTTATAATAAACAAAATAGCAATATAAATTTTTATGGAACTTTTATTTTCAAAGGATCCCAGAATGCTTATAAACTGTTATTCAAACCATATACAGGAATTGCTGAAGCATAGCTACACTTTGGAGCCAGAAGACAAGCTGAAATGTCAGTTATAGAAGACCAGGACATTCCTGCTCTGCAAGGGGTGTGGTCTGGGTGACCTAATGGGGCATTCTGGCTGTGCTTTCTGCGCTGCTGTGTGGGTGGAATGCCTCTGCCTTGGAGCAGCACAAGGCCAGGCTGTATGGCTGTGGGCAAAGGGAAGTGAAGGAGAATCAGGTAGTGGAAAGAGGAGGCATGAAAAAGGGGCTGTTTGTTACATTCCCATCACTAGGTGGCAGGGACTGGAACACAGTCACCGTTGGTTGGTTGAGACTCCTTGCACCTGGAGTAGAGTAACTCTGTCCCAGATGCTATTTGAGAAAAATCACTTTGATTGCCAAATGAAAATTCTTCTCTTATGGGAATGTTTTGGGAAAACCAAAAATAAAAACTAACAACAAGTTAGACTGATTCACATACAGAATCTCAAGAATGTTAGAGTGGCATGGACCTTAGAGATAATCTGGTTAAATTCCTTCATCTTTGTCTTTCAGAAAACTGGGACCCATAGAGAGAAAATGGTCAGAGCAATACTTAGTTCAGAACTGTGCAGTTGGAAGAGAACCTAGCATTCACTAGCTACATCTGCCTTGCTATTATAGAATGATGTCTGAAACATTTCTAAGAGTTCCTTCAGCAGTTGTGTTAATAGAGAGGTACTCATGACCTCCAAGAGCTGCCTTTCCCACTGTTGGTCATCTTTTCTTAGAAATCATCTTCATAATATTCATTCTTCATTGCTTTTACGTGCATTTAATGAGTGACAACTATGTGTCTGGTATTAAGTGTGATACATGCATACAAAGTAGGATAATAACAAAACAATAGAACCTAATAATTCTCAGGAGCACATATGTGTCAATTACTTATTGTTTTACACGTTTTTACTCATTTACTCCTCAAAACATGCTCAAGGATTAGAATCGTACTTTTTCTATTTACAGATAAGGAAAAGAACACAAATTATCTGCTAAAGCAAAACAGCTAGAGGAAAAGAGCACAAATTATCTGCCAAAGCAAAAGAGGTGGAGTCAAGGTTTAAAGCAGGCATCATTGCTATAAAAGCCCACACACTTAACAGAAACACAGTGTTGCTCCTTAAGCCACCAACTAAACAATCATGCCATAGCTGATTAGTATTAGTACAACAAGGTCAGTTAACAGGGCTCTGTATGGGGTTTAATGGGGGGGGGGGTCCCTGTTACCTGTAGTGCTCAGGGAGGAGCTTTACGAAGGAAGGGAAGACTACAAGGAACCGTTGAAGAGAGGAGCCATCTTCAGAGGGAAAAACAGGCCAAAGTTTTCCTGAATGAGGGGGGCAAAATGTGCTGGATTTTGAAGCACCAATTTTCTGCCTCTAAAGATTGCCAACTTAATGCTGTCATTTAACTACATAGAGCAAATTGATTCTCTCCTTCCCTCCATCTCTGTCTCTGTTTCTGTCTCTCTCTGTTTGGGAGTAAAGTATGTTTTGTTTTTTCTTCCTTTGAAGAGCATTATATAAACCATTAATCCCTACTTTTATAAAAACAGACTTTTACCTGGTAATAAAGAGTTTTGTAGAGACCATTAGTCATGTCCTTAATCTCTGCTTATTTTATTTTCTCCTTTCTAGGACTTCAATTGATGTCTTCCTCTTTTACATAATCATGTTTGTTAAAAAATAACCTACACTCTTCTTTGGCACATTAAGAGGAAGAAATAAAATGTATGGTCAAGCCCCATGGAAAATGCTCATTTAACTTTCATACTTAATATGTTGCATCATTTAATCATTTTTCACAAGTTAGCACTGAAGCTCAGGGAATTTCAATTTACCCAAGGTCAACAAATGGGTCAGTAGCAAACTCTGGCTTTGAAAGATTTGTCTACTTGATTCCAAAGAGTACTCAACTCTTTTGCAACTATGACTTTACATATGCATATATGTGTGTGTGTCTGTGTGTGTGTGTGTGTGTGTGTGTGTGTGTGTGTGTATCCTAAGGAGTAGGCATACCTCTTTCTCAAGGAAAAAGCATATGAAGAAATGGAGAACAGTAGTTTGAAAAGACACCTCCCTTTTCATTTCCCTGTCTTCTTGCAATGGAGAGCCACTGAATACCATCACATCTCCTATAACTCATCACCTAGCATTTATACCAGCAAGAATTATACAGATGATAATATTTATTAAGGCCCTACTGTATGTCAGGCATGGTAGTTTTCATTTAATTCTACCAGAAACTCTATATTAGGTGTTATTATCTACCCCAATTTGCAATTTAGAAAACTGAAGCACATAAGAATTAGCTGATTTTTATGGTGTTTGCTTAAAAACAAAAATCTGTGTCTATGTATCCATCTCTTATCTCACGTTACATTCTATAATTGATGGTATTTTTCAGGCTCAATCATAGCCTTGTTGCTGTTGCCTGTGTATATACACGCTTGGTCACAGGTGAATAATTTACTTTGGTTGAGTTTGTATATGCATTGTTGGACTTACATATGTTGAGTATAACTGCCTTTTAAACTGTCTACCTCTTTATTTTCTGAAGTATTTTTATTGACTTCTTGTGAATGAACCAATGAACATAAAATCAAAACTTGAAGAATAGTTTCAAGTGATTCATAAAAAATCTAGAGCCCATGGTGTAGCACTCAAAGAAAGGAAACAGCATCAAGGTTCTTGCTGACACAGAGAATGTTATGTCTAAAAATTTGAAGTGAGAAACAAACATCATGTGACCATCCATTCGCGTTGCTTTTACTTTCTTAATAGTACATCACATAATCTTCAGTGTTGGAATCTATAATGTCTTAGACCTGATGAGGTATGAACAACTTAACTGTATTCACATTGAAGGCTACTGATAGCTCCCACAATCATGAAACTGGTGAAGGATAACCCAGGGTATAAGTCAGAGTGATCCATACCTAAGGCTCTTGACTACTAAATTGTTCTGCTTCTTAGCAAAGCACCTAGAAAATTTTCTTCTACTACACATATCAAGAATGGGACAGTTTATGAAAAATAAAAATAGATACTGATTCATACTTATATGATTATATTTAAGAGTATTAGATATTAAAATATGTTCTATCAGAGTTGTTTATGATTCTAGCATGAGATGCTTTACTTTCAGATGGTGATATTGATAGGATCTTTTACTGTTGGTCATCAAGAACAATGTTTTTTAAGATGGAAGCCACACTTAAGAACACAACACTGTGTTTATTCTGCATGTCCAGTTTCTTTAATATCGTATTTCTTCTCCTGAGGGATGAAAACAGTAGTCCAATAGGTAGGGATATCTAGACTAGTCACATAAAAAGTAAACTGAAATACTTAATTATCTGAAGATAAGAATAAAGAGGAATAAACAAAACTACTTAAGAAAGAGAGCTTCCTGATGGAGGAGTATCCTTGAAATTAAATATTTCCCTATGCAAGTTGATATTTAAAATGTGTGATTTAAGAGAGATAAGAAGAAAATTGTGAGAAACATAACCTTAAATATTTTGGATCACATTTTTGTGAATTATGCAGCATTTGGCACAAGTTTTAGGAAACAGAAACACTCTGGGGTAATGATGGTGTTTGTATGCACTTTACGTGAACATGTATGCACACTAGCACAGTTATATTTGTGGTATGCTTCACCAGACACATAGAATATGTCTATGTAAAATTGTTTATATGCTACAGTTCCATCCCTGGGACTAAATGTTGGCTCTTTAAAACTCGTTTTTATGGATGCTTCCACACTGAACTTACAGAACACAGTTGCTGGATAGCATGGATATTATTTTAATTCTTCATGGGCAATCAAAAATGTCCATAGAGAAGTCACCTTAAAACATTTTAGAAATGGTATGTTGTACACTGGACAGGAAAAAAAAAAACAGAAAAAAGAAACAAAATGAAACTATATTATCATTGGCTACCCTTTAAACATATTCAAAACTCTCAGAAGAGAGCATGTACTGTGGGGAACAGTGCTGTGTTGGCACAGGTTGTGCAGGATGACCTAATGGGTCTTTCTAATTCCTGTGATATTGCAGATCTAAGAGATGGAGCCAGCAACTGCATACAACAAAACATATATCGATGTATAGACATACCCTTTTTTTTCTCTCTTTCTCTTTCTCTCTTTTCCCCTCCCTTCCCTGGAGTTCAGTAGAAACTCTCTTAAAATAAACAAAAACTGTGAGAAACTAGAAGTCAGGGACTGGCCCACTTTTGAGAGGCAGAATGTGGAAAGTATGAAGATGCTGATTTGATTATAAAAGCTGGAAGCAGAGGGGCCGGAGCCATTTAAACTACAGGCAGTAGTTAAAAGGGGAGGGGGGACTTTGAAAAAAAAAAATGGGTGTAACCCTGGGCTTTGATACAACTGGCCTTTCAGCCCCCACTGGAGATTTGCACATCCCCAAGGGAAGCTGTGGTTTGGAATAAAATCTTGCATTTAATTTCACTCAAAGAACTTATTGGACTTGGCACCAAAAGAAAGAATTTGCAGTATATTTTTTGTCATGATTAGTGGCCCCCTCACCACAACATTTGATTATTTTGGAAAGGGAAAAGTTAAATCCTTGTAAAGTTGTGATTTACAATTTGCGAGCATCCAGGTAGGGAGTGTGACTTCTGCCAGCTTGATCATGGGACCCACATTTTATTCGAGCTCATTGATGTGAGAAAACAAAACAGTTCTGCAGGGGGAAGTAGGGTTGGAATTATATCCCTCGGTTATCCTGGGAGATTTTTCTCTCCACACTACATCTTCCTCAGTCATGATAATTTTGGTTTCCTCTGGAACTCTTAGCAAGAAACTGGCATGAGGCTGGTTTACTTTTCATTTCTAATCTGTACTATCTGGTATTTTCATCATGTGACTCCTTTGCCCTCAAAGTTATGGAAATCTTCAGGGAAAGGAGTTAAAAGGAGTTTCTAATTTTGTACCTGAAAATAATTTTCACTGGACATTTTTTCTCAGGCTTTATAATTAAGAGTGGAGATCTCATGGGTATTTTAATACAGACTCAAGTATGCCCAAATAGCCAGAGGGGAAGTGAATGACCAACTGGGTATGCTGATGAATGTTTTCCTGGTAGATGTGCAACTTTCTCCACAACTGTGATGCGTCGTCCTTGACATTAACAGAAGTAGCATTCCTTTGAACACTCAGTTTTCTGAAATGGTGTCCCGCCGCCAGGACTGCAGGAGGGTGAGTGTGAGCTCAGTGCTGGAGTGACGAATGGGGTTCTGCTCTAGTGCTCAATGCTGAAGTGCAGTCAGTCAGGCCTCGAAATGAATTGTGCAACACACACCCTCTTCTACTACTTTTGAGTTGTTTAGTGTTTTTCTACTCAAATTCATGCTTGTTGGAAAACTGTCTCTAGCGTTTTAGGCAGAGAGTTCGCACCATGCCTACTATGTGAAAGCTGTTTGTTGAATAATGTCAGTAGAGCAACATGATTGGTGTTATTGGCAGAGGAAAATATCCTGTTTGCTCTCATTCTGGACTTGGACAGGGGTTGTAGATAAATATAATAAGCCCACTGGTGGAAGTATTATACTTGTGCCAAAGTGAGCACAGTGGTTAGGAACAGGGCAGAGTCTAGCTTCTGATTCTAGGTAATTTGTCTTCTCTGAAGCCTCAGTTTTCTCATTTATACACTGAAGTAAGTTAAAATAGTTGGTTGTGGAGGGGATGAAAAGAGTTAATACAAATATATCTGTAATAGTCCGTAATGATGGACACATCATATGAATTCAGGAACACTTGGCTATTACTGCAGTTTGGTATTGACCTCATTTGTCAGAGAAGACAAATTTTCTTTGTTTTTTCCTGGTGGTCTATTGTGGTACACTTAGATTAGTTTCTCTATGGAGGTGGAGTGAGAAATTTGCTTTCTCCTATTCAGAAGGCTGAGGTAGGAGGATCGTACGTTCAAGTCTAGCCTGGGCAACTTACAGAGACCCTGTGTCAAAATAAAATAAGAGGGCTGGGACGGTGGGAGACTGTTTTCCTGTCTTGTGAAAGACCCTGGGTTTGATCCCCAGTACTGCCAAAATAACGACAACAATAAAGTAAAATAAAATAAATACGTTTTCTCACATGTAACCCTTCCAAAATAGATACAAAGCTAAATCTCACTGTGTAACTGCATCCCAGTTCCTACAGAGTCTTTGAAAAATACATGTTTGCCCCAAGTTTGATGATGATGTAAAAAATTTCATGGTCCACTTATTGATTCCTAAATAGCATACAATGGAGCAAGAAACAGGAGATAAACTTGTTAAAACAACCACTTTAAAAAGGAGAGAAAGGGAAGAAACTTGCAATAAGCAGAAGCCTTTGGGATATCTTTATTCTTTGGAATAAAAGTAACATGGACCTGTGCTTACACTCCCTAGTCTCTGGGCTCTGAGATCTGCTTTCTGAGAAATGCCTCTTGCCCATTGTTCATGGTAGTTTCATCTGAGACTAGTAAGTGTCCTGCTGTGACAAACTGACTTGAGTAGCTCACTCTGCCTTCACATTGTATCCTGGGGACTGACTTAGCCCTTCATTTACCAGTCTTTGGATTTTGATTTTCTGTGATGAACACCTAGAAGTCACTGCAAGAATATTTTTTTTTTCAAATCTTCTACCCATTTTCAAATGAAGTTGCACATATTATCTTCACCTCTTAATATTTCTGACATTGGGAAGTACATTACCATCAGTAGTGGCTTAAGTGAGATAAAATAAAGTTGTTCCTAAAACCAGTGAATAAGCGGAGTAAATCTGAATTCTGGGCTCTGGTCTAGAAATCTCTTGTACAATATCAGCTTTGGTGTATTGGCCATACCGTCCCTATTACTTGGGTGTCAATGAATTCACTAAAACAGGCAAAAATCATTCCTATAAAATTCACTGGGTACAGTAGTTAGGGAGATGATGGGGCATGATAGACAATGTCAAACACATTAATAGTTCCAAACATTATCATTAGGGTGTTTAAAATTTGAATATTTTGATGTTCATTAACAACATTTTCATTAATACCACCATCATCTATGCTATCTACTACAGTCTTTATCAAAACATCTCTTGATGCTACTTGCAGAGACACAATCAAGTTTGCATTTGATTCACATGGTTATGAATGAAGCTGGCATTTCAAAAATGTCCAGGAGCTCATAAATTCACCGATGCTGCCTGATAATCCCTGCTGACTTCTTAAATTGTCATTTACATGCTATTTTATCTTTTGTGTGTTTTTGTTTTTCCTCTTAACATCAGAAACATCCATGTAGTCTTTTGCAGATTCATTCTGTTCTTCCACAACTTTTGGACTTGGTATATTTCCAAAAACAGAGAAAAACTCATTTCTGAGCCAGGTGACATCTTGTCAGTTTTCTCCCCAACCAGCCTTCCCAGTTCTGTTTCTATTTACTGGACCCACTTCCTTTTCAGTCTACACTTGAGTAATGCAGTGCCTTTCTGTTCCTTAAAACACACCTCTATCAAAACTCATCTAGAAACAGGGCTGATATTAGTTTGATTTGGCATGAATTGAAGTTGGCTTTATCTGTACCTTCATTGCACCCTGATGCACTTAGAGAGTGGATTCTCACTCCAGAGCAGGCTGGAGGAGTAAACTTCACCCCATTCCCCTGAGGTATGTCTACTGAAAAAAATTGTGCATGCCAATTAAAAATAATATTGTACTTAGAGGATGGTTAGAGGAAGCTCTAGAACAGTGGTTACCTAACTTAAGCATGAAAATTTTCTGGAGTATAAAAAAAAAATCTGGGCCCCATTCCAGACTCACTGGGTCAGATTCTCTGGAATAAGGTCTTGAGAATAGAATTTTTAATGAGCTCCCCAGGTAGATCTTGTGATCGGGAACATCCATCTAAAATAAGCTGATAAGGGGTGGGATTTAAACACTAGCAGAACTTATGAGATGCCACGGGATGCTGCGTGATATGCAGAAGGGTAACACTTCAATCTGTCTTTTTGAGTACACATATATTTGAAATGATCATTGAAATTTTCTTCGTTTTTTTAGAAAATATCTTTCCTGTATTATAAAACCTTAATATATCCAAGCGGTGAAAGGTGTATGCAAATTGAAACTAGATGATATAAATGAAACTAAATCCCACAATCTAGAAGTATGAGGATTCTGTGGGAGCTGGATACACTGCTGCACCCAGAAATGAAACAGTCTCCCAGTCTTGGATATCTACTTCATCATAACATTAACCAAACAAGATTTTATTTCTTCATGTACCTTAGTACTTTATTATAATGTTATTTCACAATCTTTTCATTACATTAGTGAATCACAATTTTATTGGTAAAAATGATGAATATCACAATAGACCTGATCTTTAATAACTTTTTACTATATAACATTTCTATTATTTAGGAATCCAATAAAAAGTATTCCCACATGAACTTTTGAATTAACTAATAATTTACCTAGGTGATCTTGAACTGATTAAAATATATTCTTTTACATAATTCAAATAAAGCAATTCTATATACCTTGTGGTAAGGTGATAATACCAGGATGACCAAAGGTTTTGACAAAAGATATACCATCTTCTAATGTATGATGTTATCTTATTTAACTAGACCTTTCATGACAAGGATTCAAACTACTTGTAATTCATTCAAAATTTCTGATGTTAATGATTTAATCCATGTCTTTTAGATATGCAATAAACTGGCCTAGGTACATAAATATTATATTACATTCAGTCTATGGTTTAAAATCTGTGACAGTTACGGTGACACTCCTGTTAGGCTGAAAGAAGAGAGTGTTCAGGGCCTGAATCATTAGTCCTTTGGTTTTCAGATTTCCTCATATAAGGATTTGTGAACCCAGCAAAGGGAAAGAGTTAAGCTTATTCTCCTAGTTGGCAGAAACTTTGTAGTTTAAAATTACATACTGACTCTGGTGTAGAGACACAAGAAATTATAGAGCAGACACTGTCCAGGACAACGTATAATTTAAAATGTACTAAAGAATGTATACCGCATGGCAAAGTAAGTGAAGTGCTTCTTCAAATATAAGTGTTTTGCATAGAAAGGCAGTAATTATCCACTCCTAAGGAAATGTTTGCATTCATTCTAAATCAATATTTACTATTCATTTCTTGTGTTCAACAAAACAGGAATTTAACTTTTTTTTTAATTTTAATGAAGCACTAAGACTACAATAATTCTACAATGTAATTGTCATGATATGAAATATTGCTAAATGGTGCTGCTATTTCGAGAAAGAGCAGTGTGAAATGTAAGGGTATCCCTCTTTGTGAACTCTTACTTTGGGAACATTCAATTCAAACTCAGCAAAGCAGGGCGACTCACCAGTTTTCAAGGATAACTTAAGCTGTCTCCTTGGTTAGGCCCTTAACTAGGATCATTCAGATGAGCCTTTGCCTGTGTATCTTTTTCTCTTTCTCCTAATGTACCACTTCCTAATAAAGATTCTATTTCAATTCAACTACTGCCTTTGGGGTGGGTATGTGTGCATGTGTGTGTGTGTGTGTGTCTGTGTCTGTCTGTGTGTGTGTATAAGAAACTGCTCTATACAATCATATATATATATATATATATATATATATATATATATATATATATATATATAATCATATATATATATATATATTTTTTTTTTTTCTGAAGGAAGAAAAGATTTTTCCCCCCAGACTTCTAAATTCTCCCTCACTGTTTAGTTCAAAAGAACCTCATGGAAGATACAGAAGGAAAAGATAAGTAAATAGGAAACATATGAATACTGTACTCTGTGACAAGACTGAAGGTCTCCAGCATATTTTTATTTGTGGGACTTATGATCTGATTGTTTAAGAATTTTCTTTGGAAAATGATTACCGTTTTTTTTTTAATCACTGAACTTTAAAAAGAACCCATAACACTTTATATTACAACATGAGTACTCTTTTTCTTTGTAGCAATAATAGTAATCATTTTGCCCCTGAGTTTCAGATTAGGACAGAGACCATAGTGCTGCACTACCAAATGCCACATAAATGCCCAAGTTTTCTACTAACTTATGCTACTGCCTCCCACTTCTGTGTAAAGTTTAGGATTCAAGGTTTTCTATTGATATTTTGTTTTGCTTTGGGGTTTGTTTCATATCGTTTTGGAGATAGGTATGGTTAGGGGACATCTCTTTGAAAATCTCACCATTCCTAGGAGGCTTTTTCAGATTTCATATTGATTACCTATTTTTAGATTTATAGGTTCTTAGCACCCTATTCTCCTTTGAAATGAGATTGAGAGCTAGGAAAGAGTCAAATTAAAATTATATACTTTTGCAATTCCATCACATAGTTATGTGGCTTCTCGGACTTTATTCGTGGAACAGCAGCAGTGATAGGTCTGTCCTGAAGTTCCCTCCCTGCCTTCCTGACATTCATAATTCATGCATGCTCTTTGAGTGAATTACTCTTCCATATACACTCTGGAGACAAATAATATTATTTATGTATTGTGATTGCTACTCTATTTCATCTTCCTTTTTATTGACAAGAAACAAGGGTGTTGCTTGTAGTTAGGGAAGTAAATTGGGTGCAGAAATCGTCCTTTCCTTTCTGAGAGAGCCACCTAATTTTTCTAGGAAGTGCTGTTGTAAACTGTGCTGTTACAAATGGTGTGTTAGTCCTCAAGATATTCCTGTCTCCATGTATGAAGTAACAAAGTGTTCCCTTCTCATTCAGTGGAGACAGCCAATGGGAAAGCAGGCAGTTAAGGACGCATTCCTAAAGTCTGGAAAATCAATGGGACACTAAAAAGGGAACTGAAGTGGACCGGAAGGAACCTCTTGAGGGTCATTTTAAAAAACCAGAAACTGATTATGAACAGAGCTTTTACCCAAGCAACTGGAGGGGGCCAGCAAACCCATTCTACTGCACTCCAGTTAAATGTCTAATAGTTGAGATGTTTTCTGCACAGCCCATAAAGGATAATGAGGAAGGCTTTGATAGCTTTAAAGAAAGTCGCTCTGTGGCCTCTCACAAAAACATGATCTGAGTGTAAGTGGCAAATGCTTTCAAACCCCAAAATGGAAAGGGGCAATGCCAGCTAGGTAAGGTAGTTACCATGTTAATTGCATAGCAAAGTAGTCCTGATGTGAGTTTGTACATGAGGGAAAAATAAAAGTAAGGGATATCAGAGTGCAAAACCTGAGATAGCATTTACTTAAGATGAGGCCTTCCAGAGACTTTGGGATTGTCTGTGATTCTTCTCTGATGTGATAACTGTGTAATGTAGGTCAAATTAAAGATCAGTCTGAATTCTTCCTTCCATTGTATTTTATTATCTTTGAATGAGAAATTGTTCCTTATCTTACTTTGTGTTAAAAGCATTGCTTGTCCTCTCACGCTGCAATCAGCTCTGAGATTATTCTTGTGCATCACCAGCCCCAATTCTAGCAAAGGAATACTTCATAAATACTAAAAAAAAAAAAAAAAAAAGAAGAAGATGAACATTCATGTTGAAGTATTTTTTTTAAGTTTGCTAATGAAAAAGCAAGTTTTGTTAACTTTTCTTTTTACAGTGCCTTTACCACTCTTAGCAAAAGTCTATTAAAAAGAGAAAACCTAAAATCTTCTCTCAGGAACCAAGGACACTGTCACTGACCTTGTATTTACTCTTTCAGAATGTGAGATTCCTATATTGCAAAAGAGAATGGTTGAATACTTACATTCAAACAGATACATTATTAGGTAGTTAACAAACTAGTCCAATCAAGAATGAAGTGATGCCTTCTGATCCATCAGTCAATTGCTTAACAAACTTCAAACATCTTCTTAATATGACACCCAAACGATGCTTAAAGAGTTATCTCAGGCAAGGCATCTGCAAACAGAATGGAGAAAGGTAAGTGCTCAAGATTTTCTTTCAGTCATATATCAACCGAAATTTGTCATACTGTATCAATGTGTCCAATCAATAAAGTGGCATAGTTTAAGAAGCAAATAATGATGGCCATTGCATAAATGATCAGAGAAAGGAAGGAGTATTAAATGAAAAAATTTTCACACAATGCCTAATTTTTAACATTTTTTTCACTTACATGGATGCACTGCTACAGTCACCTCTAGCCAAGCCCTGGAGACCTGGATGACTCACTGACAGATGGCAGGATGGGGCACTAAACCAAACCTAGTCAGCACCCACACCTGGACTTGTTTAAGTTTCTAGTACTGTATAGTATCTTTCATGGTGAGAAGCCTCCATTTATAATTATTTCAATGTCTATATCAGTTTCGTCTCATAATTCTGTTATAAAAAATATTATTAAGAACATGTAATAATTCCATGTTATGTCTATTAGTATCACCATACAAGAAATTAAAACTGACATTTAAAATATTTACGTATTAAAAATAATAAATCCATTACATGTTAATATGAATGGTTCTTATAAAATAAGAAAAAACTATGTTCCAAAACAAAACCAAAAAAAAAATTACTTAGTGAGGTGGATGATGTTTTAAGTTTTAGCAAATCTCTTTAATTGTTTGGGTTTTCATATTTGCTTCTTCATTCAATTTGTTGTCACATTAAATTTTATGTAGCCTCTGGAAAACTCTTGTATACCCAAGAGAGAATGAGTGAAAAAAGCAAAAATATCTTAATATTATTATGCAAATAGCTTTGATCCTCTGAGACTCACCAAAGGGTCTTATAAACTCTCAAGTAGCCACATATCACAATGCTAATCTTATAAAATGTTAAATTCATATGTCTGTCTACATTTTCCTGTATCACAAGTTCAGTGTACACCTGGAACATAGTAGATGCTCAAGACAATTTCCATTTCTGTTATCCTTCTCCAACTCAAAGTGAATCATTCCTATATATGCCTTAGGGCTCAGATAGCTTCAGACTTAATGAATTTCTATGTATACCTAGGTGATGCTGGTAAATATTCTTTTACTCGAAATATCTTCTCAGAGAAAATTTCTTTACATCTTTGAAAAAGGTTAAGGAAAAAAGGGGGAAGATAATCAAAATGTCAGACAAAAGAGGTTTGGGACTCCATAAGAGGAACTGAATTACGTTTCCGAGACTTTGGATTCTATAATTCTTCTGAAGTAGCCATTCCTTGAGGGTTCTAAAATATTTTCAGAAACATACTAGTTTCAGGTGGAATAGGATATTTAGAAAGATTGTTGTGTGATATGGATGAGCTATACATATTTGGATAGTTGATGAACTATAGCACAGCTTATAAACATAAATGCCATAATTTTCAGATCATATAGCTATATGTAGATACTCAAATTAACTTATCCAAAGAATCCAAAGCCTTGTTGAAAAGTAACAGTAGTATTTTCACAGTTTGAAATTAGACTTTTGATAACACATTGACACTTTTTGCCAGGCACAGTGGTGCATGCCTGTAATCCCTGTGGCTTGGGAGGCTGAGGCAGGAGGATAGCGAGTTCAAAGGTAGCCTCAGCAAAAGTGAGGTGATAAGCAACTCAATGAAACCCTGTCTCCAAATAAAATAAAAAATATGGCTGGGAATGTGGTAGGTGGTTGAGGGCCCCTGAGTTCAATAACTGACACCAAACAAGACAAAATGACAATGAAAAACAACAACAACAACAAAACAAAGATTGACACTTCTTATTCACTTGTTTAGCTAATGCTTATTTTTCACCTACTCCTACTGTGTGCTTTGGAAAAGACAATGCACTAGAACATACGGCTTCTGCTTTCAAATATTTTACAGTCTAGTGAAATATACCTAGAAAGCCTGACAATTAATGAAACAGTAATGAATATTAAGAAGAACAGGATGCTTTTAGAATGCTTAAATGGAAATATAACCCAAATGTATAGGAAAAGTGAAAGTTCCCAGAGAAAGTAAGGGTACCTTAGGAATGAATGGAGTTGACCTGGTTGGAATTCATATGGAACTGGAATTCATATACCAACCACAGGGAGAGTTGAGGGAATGTACAGTTCACTTGGTGATTGGAGAGTATTTCTGATGACTGGAGTGAGGAGCAATAAGCAAGAGTCAAAGAGGAAGAGCTAGTGTCACATTAGGTTCCTGATGTAGAAATTGAATGCTTTAATTGAAATAGAGTCCAGTAGGAGAAATATAATGATGCAGATATGGAAGAAAGATAATGAATTCCATACTTTTGAGCTATCTAAGTGGAGAGATTGAATACATATGGTGCCATTGGAATCTGCTAGATTATGAAATCCATTAGATTTAAGTTTCATGGCATTATGGACTTCACTAGATTAGGGAATCTACTAGGATAACTTTAAATGAAAAAGCTTATCAGTTTGCTTCTTATTTGCTATCTATCTATCTGCATATATGTGTATCCTACTATACATCTGATGCATAGTATAAGTTTATTAAACATTTATAAAACAAATGAATTAACAAATGCAGAATAAAGGAATATGAAGGTCAGTAGAGAATTTTAGAATGGCTATGTAGGTTTGGAAGTCATTAGCATATGGGTAATGGTTAAATCAAGGAAGATTGTGCATTAACCTAAGTGGATAATGTGGAGTAAAATGGAATAGGACATTAAAACATGGAGGAAGTAGAACTTATTAGGAATTTAAGAAATAGAGAAAACTTGAAGGTAGCAGAAAATGAACCAATAAAAGCTATAAAAAAGGAGAGCCAGATAATTATAAATTATGTCAATTAACATTCCTTTTATAGGCCACAAACACAGCAAAATTTGATTTTTTTTGGAGAATAACTGTAGAAAACAGAAGTTGGAGAATAAGAAGAAACAGACTTGGGAAATGAATGTAAGCAAAGTGAGTTCTGGAGAACTGGATAGCATAAATGATAACAAATGCAATACATGAGGAATTGATAGGTCTGCTGTCATTACCAGTGCCTAAGTATGGTTTCTAACTATCTCTTCATCTATCTTCTCTTGAAGAAGCCTTTAAGCTCTAGAAGAAAATATTGGCTGAATCATGCTTATAGCACTCTCCTCTGTTTGGGGGATAAAACGTTTTGGTACTTCCATTTTTTTCATAAGGGGAGGCAACCACACCTTCTACCAAGCTTTGTCCAAAAGGAAGCAGAGATTACTATAGCAAGGGAAAGGGATGGATCCTGGTTTGAACTACATGAACAAATGGCAAAGATCATCCGAAGACAAAAGATAGAAAACATGGCAATCTGCTAAACACAGATAAACTTAGATAAAAGATGAAAGCAAAGGCGTATTCATTAGCAGTAGCAATAAGAGGTGGTTGGTGACTTAGGCAAGAGGAGTCTGAGTAGCCCTGCTGGAAACCAGGCTGAAGCAAGTTAAGGAGTGTGTTTCAGTCAAAGAGTGGAATAGTAAAGGTAGATAGCTATTTTAAGAAATACAGCTTATAATAATGAATCAAGAGTAAATTTGCTTATGGTTTAGAAAGATTCAGAATGCAAAGAAACAGTTTGCCCTTTAGTAGGGATTTTCTAACTCTTATGGTCAGAGTAAGAGATATGAAGCTTGCAAAGACCGTAGATGGGTAAATTTCCATATTGGGACAATCTCCATATACTGGAATTCCTCGTTCTATTTGCAGGATACCAGTAAGTTGCACAACTCTGTAAGTGGCTTTGTTTTTTGCCTTTTAAAGTCTCAGCCACATGATTTATCACTTGACTCCTCATGGTATAATGCTATTATATTTAATATTTTTCTGTCTTCATAGTCAGAACCCACAACATTGATGATTTTAAAAAGATTACAGAAATCTGGAGTCCCAGGTACATACATAATTCTTTTTATCACAAGGAATCCAAGAAATATAATTTCAAGCTCCTTGGAGACAAGGAACTATTTTATTCCTCATAGTACATACCACAACATTGGACATGAAATCATGCCTATGCACTGCGAATATTGATTGATTAGTTTGTTGATTTTTTAGAACATTGACTGAAATGACACTTACCTACAAATCTTGACAAGAAAAGAGAGTTTTGTTTTCTTCCTGAAAGTTTCATTTGGTTTATCCTTTTCTCCATTTTTATCATCTTCATTATGCAAAACAGGTATAAAATTTCATGAAAAATTGAGTGTTTTGCATTTTAAGATAGAGGAAACTTTTAGATTGGAAACATTAAAAACAAACTGAAGCCAATGAAAAGTGTATTTTACTGCTTTATATCTAAAAATGGAACTGACCAATTTGAGCTATTTTTAAAACCTGTATATTCATGCAACTTGCATACCAAAATGAAAATTGGTGAGCTATAAAACCTTGAAAAACAGGGTTTATAATGGAAACAGTAATTGACCCTTAAGTACAACACCAAAAATACAATACTATGTAATACAAAGCCCAGGGCTTGGGATCCCATCTCTGCTCTAACCTCAGACTGGCACACTAACCCCACACCACAAAGCCAACTAATAGTTATATTTCGAGATGTTTTCTTCTTACATGGCAGAGAAAGGGACTATGTGATCCAATAGCCACATGCTGCTAGGTTTCACAGACCTGTACCCAAATATCTTTAATAAACTCAAAACTCCAGAGTCAATACTCTGTAAAATACTTGGACTTTCTTGGAAAAACAATTTAATAAAAAGAAAGAAAACAGCTACCTCTGTGTTGTGCTGCATCGATCACGAACTTGAGGCGTGTGACATTGCACCACAGGATGAGGGCAGAGTAACCAACTGTGAGGAAATCTCATGGAATTACGGGAAATAACTCTTAAAATATTTCGACTTGTCTTCAACTTTGCTCTAGTTCTTAGTTGGTCCAGTTTCCTATTTTCCAAGCCATAATCGTCCATTTTTGTCATGAGAAAAAGCAATCGAAATTAAGGAGAAAAATTCAAGCATTAAGCTTGACTAATAAGACAGGAAAGGCAAATTCAGAGTCTAGGTTTCAACCTAACTGAAGGAAAAGAAGGAGGAAGTGTAGGTGTGTGTGTGTGTGTAGAATCTCTTTATCTATCTATCTATTTTCTATCCAACTATCATCTGTATTATGATGAGGAAAAGGGAGTAAGGGAATTTGTTGCTAAATCAAGTTCAGAGAGTTCTTTCATTTTAAAGTTGAAATATGTGAGCATTGCCAACTTTTTTTTTTAAATGCTTCCAAAGAATTTGTCAGCTAAGAATAGTCAAGATTTTGCTTTTAATATGTGATCTACTTGTGCAATTTTCAATAGGCTATGTTTATCCAGAGGTAACCAGTAAGACTATTTGGTGTTTCCTTGTTGAACATTCTATTTCTCTGGCTGCCTTTATAACTACTGGGCTTGATACAATGAACATGAGTGAAAAATTGTTGACTGTATTTATGCCACTTCTTCATCTACATTTTTTCACCATAATACTTACTGAGTTTAGAAAAAAAACATGGAAGAAGGGGACATTTGGACAGAGAAGGGTATTTTCTTTGTGGGAGATTTTAGACAATTTTAGAATTGTCATCTACTTTGGGGCTTAACAATTTTACTAATTGCAATTAGATGATATCTTTATATACTGATATAAATAACTGATACACTTTGAAATTTCAGTGCTTAAAAAATAAAATAAATGTGAATGTCTCAATACAGCATTTTTCTTATTTGTTCATGTCTTTCTTCAAGTACTAAGATCTATCTTGGATAACTTTGTGGTGTATATTACCAATTATACCTTTTATTCAATGTCAGAAAAAAATAAAAATTCCCTCCCACACACATATACAAACCTTTTCCATTTTCTATTTTTTATTTATTCCTTTCATTCATTTTAATTCTTTCATATACTTCATCCTATTTTAAACTCTGTATTAGGTCATTTTCCCAGTTTTTTTGTGACTACATATAAATAATTATGCTGTGAACTGAAATTTTGAAATATTATTTTATGCTTTCCCTTTTATTTCCTTACAAGCCTTGGTCCTTCCCAGAGAGATTAGGAAAGGAATAGCATATTTGAAGTCAAAATAAAAATTAGTAAAATCTTATCTTTTGGGTTTCAAAAGCTTATTCCTTTGGGAAAGTAGAAAGAACTCAGGGCATGAGCAGAATATTTGACAAACTACTTATTAGTAAAGAGCCAAGGTGTCCTTTGCCATTAGGTAAAATCTTGTCAGGCTGTGGTGTGAGGGAAAACAAACATTAATCATTTAGACTGGGTGGGTCCCTGAGCAAACAAAAAAAACCTGTGTTCCTCTCTTTGGCTAATTATAGGTGAATGAGAAGAAGGATACCCTAAGAGGAGAAAAGTGCAAAGAGTACTGCATCTAAGTACCAGTAGGTTTACACAGAACCAAAGCTTTAGGTATGGGCACCAAGGGTCAGGGTGAGATCTCCTGAGATGGCCAAGGATCTGGTCTTCACCCCCTACTCCACACAGGTGGCAACTGAGTTCTTCCAGCAAAGCCCATTCAGGACTGATGGTTTTCTATTTCTCTATTCTTCCTCTGCTTCCCCTGGTATCCCTGAAAAAAAAAAAATCCTGCTAGTTCCATGGCCCATTGGACAATGGGAATCTCTGAGAATCTAAAAAAAAAAAAACAAAAAAAAGGTTTTTTTTTTTTTGGAAGGGAGTGTAAGTAAACTTGTGGGAATTATACTCTTGTCCTGAGGCATAACAATATTCTCTGAGCCAACTTGAATTCACCAGCCATGACACATTTTGTAGTCAATGACCTTTTGATTTTTTATTGGTATACCATAATTATACATTAATAGTAGGATTCATTATGCCATATTTGTACAAGAACATAACAAAATTTGATCAATCTCATTTCACATTAATTTACCTTTCCCTTCCCTTCTCCCTCCCCTGACTCCCTTTTGATATTCTACTGGTCTCTTAAGGGAGACATCATCATCATCATCACTTAAACTAGTAGTTATATATAAAAGTGGGATTCATTGTGGTATATTCATACCTGGACATAGCACAATGTGGTAGATTTCTTTCCTCAGTACTTCTCCATATCGTCCCTTTGTCCCTCCCTCTAGATCCCCATTCTCTACTCTATTGGTCTCCCTTCCTTTTTTGTGAGATCCTTTTTTTTTTATTCTTTCTAGCTGCCAGATATGAGAAAAAATACTTGACCTTTGACTTTCTGAGTCTGGCTTATTTCACTTAGCATAATGTTCTCCAGTTCTATCCATTTACCAGAAAATATCATAATTCTATTTTTGTTTAAACCTGAGTAAAACTTCATTGTGTATATATACACCACATTTGCTTTATCTATTTGTCTGTCCATGGACACCCAAGCTGGTTTTATAGCTTGCCTATGTGAATTGGACTGCTATGAACATTGGTATACATGTGTAACTATGGTATGCTGCTTTTAGTCCTTTTGGACCTGAAGAACTGGTATAGCTAGATCACATTAAGGTTTGATTCTTAGTCTTTTGAGGAATTTCCATTCTGGTTTCCAAAAAGGTTGTACAAATTTGTAGTCCTACTGGAAATTTGTAAGCGTACCTTTTCCCCCACATTCTTCCCAGCAATTAGTGTTATTTATTTTCTCGATTGCCATTCTGACTGAAGTGAGATGAAATCTCAGTAGAGTTTTATTTTCATTTCCTTGAAGGCTAAGGACTTTGAACATTTTTTTTTTCATTTATATGTTGGCCATTTGTATTTCTTCTTTTAAGAAATGTCTGTTCAGTTCATTTCCCAATTTACTTATCATAGTCAATGTTCTTTTGGCACCCAGTCTCTACATAGGAAAGGGGGCACAGGTGCACCCACATGCAGATTTCTAACTAGTCTAGGATTTCTCTTCTTTTCCTCACCTAAAGCACAACTAAGTGGAGGAGGAAGCAGAGAGCTGGAAATATTTCTTTGGGACTCACTTGCATCTTAGCTTCCAAAGTATACTCTCTGAACTCTAGAAAATTTATCTTTCATTCTGGTAGAGAATATTTTAGTTCTAACTCACTAATAAATACATATTCTATTACCTGAGGATTATTTCCTTGCTTTCTCTTGCCAACCAAACTAAGAAATAGACTTTTGTAGTTGAATTATTTTTAAGTTGTGGCATCTCTTTTATGAGGTAAAAATACAGAACACTTTAATTGAATTATTAAGGAAAGTCCATTGGCCCCAAGAAAATATATAGAACATGAATGAATGCACTGTTTTAGTCAGCTTTGCATTGCTGTGATCAAAATATCTGACAAGAATAACATAGAGGAGGAAGAGTTTGTTCTGACTCATGGTTTCAGAGGTTCAGTCTACAGTTGGGTAGACTCCATTCCTCTGGGGCTGAGGTGAGGCATGACATCATGTGGAAAGGCATAATACAGAAAAGCAGCTCAACACATGACAACCAGGATGCAGAGAGAGAGCTCTGCTCACCAGGGACAAAAATATAAACTCTAAAGCCACACCTCTAGTGACCTACCTCCTCCAGTCATAACTTATGTGCCTACAGTTAATCCACATCATTGGATTTGATCCACTCATTAGGTTAAATCTCTCATAATCTAACCATTTCACCTCTGAACATTCTTGTGTTATCTCACACATGAGTTTTTGGGTTACCTCATATTTGAACCATAACATTCACATGTCAAATTGTCATCACACCATAACTATTTGTGCAATTACTTCTTTAATGCTAGTCTCTTTGCTAAAATATAAGGTTTCTTCTCTTTGCACATTTTTATTTTGCATTATAATTGTATGTAATGATGAGATTTGTTGTTATATATTTGTAAATGCACACAATGTACTATACTTTGGCCAATATAACTTTCCTCAGCATTTCTTGCCTTCATCCCCACCTCCCACACACTGATCCTTTTCTTCTACTGATCTTCCTTTGATTTTCATGAGACACCTCTCCCACAACACACACACACACACACACACACACACACACACCTTTCTCTTTTTCCTCTCCAGGTTCCATATGTGGAAAAAAAAAAAAAAACATAATTGGCCTTCTTAGTTTGGCTTACTTCACTTAATGTAATGTGTGAAGGTTTCTTTGTTCATTGCTTTGTGCCCAGCATCTTATACATTGCCTAAAACATAGTATGTACTGAATAAATAATTGTTAAATAAATGAATAAATAGAAAGAGAAAATAAAATTCCTAAAATAACTTTATTATTTTGTGGTATGTTCTACTCTGTCCTCAAGAAGGGTCTTAGTTGAATATTTTATCCATTGCTAACTTAGAAAATTACTGACTTTAACCAATGTTAGTAAAATTTTTTTCTTCCTTAGTATAAAAACCTTAATCCATCTTTAATGCAAAATTAGATGAATTGCCATAATTAGACTTTTTAAAAGTATTTGTTTATTTGAGTGAGATTTAAGCAACTTACTAAGGAAAAAATAGTCATTTTTTACTATTTGGAGAATTTCTGGCAAATTGATTGACCTACTGAGGTTCTTTCTTTCTTTCTTTTAAATTTTTAAAAAATATATCTACATAAGTTTGTAATGAGAAACAGAAAAATTATGGAAACTTTACTTTGTTCTTAACTTCTGAGTAATAGTTATAAAGTTTTTTTTAAGAATGTTTTTAAGTTTTTACTTTATTCTTGGCTCAAAGCAAAGATTTGAGGTGAATTCATCTTTGATTCTTCTTTGATACACTCTCTAAAACTCTTTCAATAATAATTACCTGCTAAAAATTCTTACTCCCTAGGCCATTGTACCTGAATGTAGTTCTCATTGACCTAAATGAAGGGTAAGTGTGTGTTGCTGAAAGGAGAGTATTTGTATTGTGTGTGACAAGAGCTTATGCAACAGAGGTCACTAAACTATATATTTCCACCCTTGCAAGAAAAGTAATTCAATTTTGGAAACTGAAAACAAGAGATAATATCTACTTTCAACTGTATAAATCATGCACATTAATAGGGGAAAATATTCCCATTCTAGTAA